TCTATGCAGGGTTGCCTGAGCTACCGAAAGCCAAGTGATGTTGAAAGACACATCTGTGTGGGCGACGAACAATCGGTAGATGTTGAAGCAATTGGGCACTTTAGGTTGCTATTAGGAACTGGTTCTTATTTGGACTTAAAAGATACTTTTGTAGTATCATCTTTTAGACGGAATTTGGTTTTTGTTTCTGTATTGGACAAATCAAGTTATCATTGTTCATTCAAAAACAATCAATTTAGTTTATCTTTTAATTCAGATATTGTGGGAACTGGTTACTTGAGTACTTATGACAACCTATATTTGCTCGATACAATTGCTTCTTATAATAAATCCTTGCATGTAGAATCACGTGGTACTGGAAAATTTGGCGACATTATGGCATAAGCGCTTGGGTCATATCTCAAAAGGTAGAGTTGAGCGTCTTGTGTCTAATGGCATTTTGGATTCCCTTGATTTTTCGGACTTCGACGTATGTGTTGAATGTATCAAGGGAAAATAGACTAAAGTTAAAAGATTAGGTGCCAACAGATCTTCGGATGTCTTAGAATTGATACATACGGATATTTGTGGGCCATTCCCTACAGAATCCTAGAATGGTCAATAATATTTTATATCATTTATAGACGATTACTCACGTTATGGGTACCTATATCTTATTCATGAAAAATCTGAGTCTCTGGACATGTTCAAAGCCTATAAAGCTGAAGTTGAGAATCAACTCAACAGAAGAATTAAAACCGTTAGATCTGATCGTGGTGGTGAGTACTACGACAGATATGATGGTTCAGGTGAATAACATCCAGGACCATTTGCTAGATACCTAGAGGAATACAGTATCGTCCCACAGTACACCATGTCGGGTTCACCTAGCATGAATGGTGTAGCTGAAAGACGAAACAAGACTCTTAAGGATATGGTAAGAAGTATGATTGCTCATTCTTCTTTACCAGAGTCTCTCTGGGGAGAAGCACTAAAGACAGCAGCTTACATTCTGAATAGAGTACCAAGTAAAGCAGTTGCTAAAATACCTTATGAGCTTTGGACTGGTCGAAAGCCAAGTTTAAAGCATTTACATATTTGGGGATGTCCAGCTGAGGTAAGGCCTTATAGGCCAAATGAAAAAAAATTGGACTTCAAAACAGTTAGCAGCTACTTTATTGGGTACTCTGAACGCTCTAGGGGCTATAAGTTTTATGATCCCACACTAAGGAATATTTTTGAGACGGGAACAATAACATTCTTTGAGGATGTTGAGTTTGAGGGGAGAAATAAGGTTAGAGACATTAGTTTTGAGGAGGAATTGCCTTCAGATCCAATTCATACAGTTACTTTTGACAATATTCAGGTTCTTATACCTGTTGTTGCTCAAGAAGTAAATCCGGAATCTCAAGATGACAATGTTGAACAACTCCCTGTTCAAGAAGAACAAACTCAACAACCTCAAGAACCAGTGCTTGAACAACTCCCTGTTCAAGAAGAACAAACTCAACAACCTCAAGAACCAGTGCCATTAAGGAGATCCACGAGAGAAAGGAGAAATGCAGAACCAGTGCCATTAAGGAGATCCACGAGAGAAAGGAGAAATGCTATTTCGGATGATTATATTATATTTTTTCAAGAACATGAGGAAAGTAGTGGAATATTGGAAGATGATCCAATCAACTTTCTCCAGGTCATGAAAAGTTCTAACTCTCAACAGTGGATTGATGCCATGAATGAAGAGTACAAGTCTATGTAAGACAATAAGGTTTGGGAATTTGTCCCATTACCAGAAGGTGCAAAACCAATTGGTTGTAAATGGATTTTTAAAACCAAGCGGGATGCAAACGGTAATGTGGAGAGGTATAAGGCACGTCTTGTGGCTAAAGGCTATACTCAAAAGGAAGGCATTGATTATACAGAGACTTTCTCTCCGGTTTCATCGAAAGACTCTTTCAGAATAATCATGGCACTTGTTGCTCATTATGATCTTGAGTTACATCAGATGGATGTTAAGACTGCATTTCTCAATGGAGACATTGATGAGATGATTTATATGGTGCAACCAGAAAACTTTGTGTCAGGAGACCCAAAGAATATGGTTTGCAAATTAAGGAAATCCATCTATGGACTCAAGCAAGCTCCTCGTTAATGGTATCATAAGTTTCAACAAATAATTATCTCGTTCGGTTTTGAGATGAACATTGTTGATGACTGTGTATATCACAAGTTCAGTGGGAGTAAGTATATTTTTCTGGTTCTGTATGTCGATGATATATTGCTTGCCACTAATGATATAGGCATGTTGCACGAAACTAAGAGATTTCTATCAAAGAATTTTAAAATAAAAGATCTTGGGGACGCCTCTTTTATATTAGGAATCCAAATACATCGAGATCGCTCTCGGGGTATTCTTGGATTATCACAAAAGAGCTATATCGATAAGGTACTTAAAAGGTTTGGCATGCAAAACTGCAGACCAGGAGATACCCCTGTGGCTAAAGGAGACAAATTTAGTCTCAATCAGTGCCCTAAAGGTAACCTTGAAATTCAGGAAATGCAGAAGATTCCTTATGCTTCGGCTGTAGGAAGTCTAATGTATGCTCAGGTATGTACGCGTCTGGATATTGCGTACATTGTTGGGATGTTAGGTAGATACTTAAGCAACCCTGGTATGGATCATTGGATAGCAATCAAAAGGGTTATGAGGTATCTTCAGAAAACAAAAGATTATATGCTCACATAAAGAAAATCAGAACAGTTGGAGGTCATTGGGTACACTGATTCTGATTTTGCTGGATGCCAAGATAGCAGAAAGTCTACATCAGGCTACATTTATATGTTAACAGGAGGAGATATATCATGGAAAAGTGTTAAACAGAAACTCGTAGCTTCCTCTACTATGACAGCAGAATTTGTAGCTTGCTATGAGGCATCCAATCAGGGAATATGGCTGCGAAATTTTGTCACGGGACTGCATATTTTGGAAAATGTTGAAATACCACTAAGGTTATATTGTGACAATAAATCTGCAATAATGTATTCCAATAACAACAGGAGCTCAACCAAGTCAAAACATATTGACATTAAGTTCCTGGTTGTGAAAGAAATGGTACAGAGTGGACAGATATCTATAGAGCACATTGGGACAAACTCCATGATAGCTGATCCTCTTACTAAGGGATTGCCACCCAAGATTCAAGGATATCCTAATTTAGTGGGAGTTTATTATAATTATGGTGCTTTATGTTTGGTTGTATTGTCTGATCAGAATAAAGTATTCAGTTAAGACACTCTGTTACATTATGTTTGGTTTTGACCTCACTAAAGGAGGACCAGTTGAAAATAGACATGTACTGATCACATTGCATGTAATTTTTATGCTGCACATCCATGTTTGATCTATGTCGTTTGATTGTATTGGTATATGTGACCATTGATGAGTTTAGTTACGATAAATGTGACGAATGCCGCTTTGATCCTATATTGATATAGTCAATGGACGAGATTGTTCGGAAATACTTTTTTTTAGTGATAGCAGTTTTTGAGCTCATAAGGTTATACACAATTTAAGGAATCATATGGTGCCCAAGTGGGAGATTGTTGGATTTAATCTAATAAATCTATTTGTGGGCACATATGATTAATCAATGTGTATTGCTATCTTTCAGAATAACCCACTAAAGTGATCAATTAATTTGGGTTAATGGGTATTTAAATAAGTCATTGGGTTATATGTGCAGATACCAGGTTGTAACTGTAATTTAATGAGGGGTCAAATTACAAATGTACAACACCTATATATATGGGGTTATGGTCCCTAATCTAGGGTTAACCACTCTCATTCTCTTATCCCCATCTAAAGAGATCCATAAGAGAGAAACCCTAAGGTTAGAAGATCATCAAAACCCTAATTAAGTTTTCTTCAATGGATTCAAGTATATGCTTCCGCACCTTTTGATTCTTGTTAATCTCTTTAAATTAAATCATGGCTTTATGGTTCAGATCTCAAATTTTTATCAGATCTAACATTGAAGATTTAGGTGTCATTTGGCAATGAGTTAAGTGGGAGGTTAAGGAGACTTAACCCCTTCTTAACCCGTCAAACACAAAAAATCTATATAAGGGTTAAAGTGAGTTAACCCTCTATAATTTGTCAAGTACAAAATATATAGAAAGATTAAGCTAACCCTTCTAGAGGGATTAAAATGAGTTAACCCCTCAAAATGAAGGGTTTACTAATACTTCTATTTAGAATGATTAAGAGTTAACCCTCTAATTATAAAGAAAATAGTCAAAATCTTTGTTATTCCTAAACACTAAAAATGATCATAAAGATTAAAATAAAATTTATATAACAGATTATTAATTAGTCCTTCGGGTTATCGAATTGACTAATTAAATTAATCTGATCCTTCCTCGTTAACCCTGTGTGAAACGGGAGCCTTAAGTGACAAGTATTTTTTTTAAGGGCCTGTTCGGTTATTTCCCAGGGAAAAAAAGAAATAGGAAATGTACCATGAAAACCAATTGTTTGCATTTCCACAAGGTTTCTCAGTTTTGAATTTTTATGTTCGTTTCACAGGGAAATCAGATGATTGAAATCATAGTTCACATTTTCTCAGTTTTGAATTTTTATGTTCGTTTCACAGGGAAATCAGATGATTGAAATCAAATGAAGAAATCTCGGGTGTTTTCACGTAGTTTGTTAAACATTTCCTCGAAAAACACCCGATTATAATTTTTTAATGGGCGTGAGTGGAGATTTCGGGTGTTTTCACGTCCAAAAGGGCTGAAAACGCCTGCGCGTAAAATCCGACGTGGCTTGAGATTTCAAGCCTCCATTTCTCTAAATCAGAGGGCGAAACGAACAGGTACAATTGAAATCTCCCGAAACCCGTTTCCTATGTGGCACACAGTTTTGATTTCCTTTCCCTGATTTCACCGATATTTTGGGTCAAACGAACAGGCCCTAAAAAGAAAAACAACACTCCTGCTCTTATCCCAAAAATTCCCAATCATTGCTCGCGGGGGCCTCAGCCACCTGCTCTTCAACAACAATTCAAAATCATTTCGGCTCCTGAAAACCCCCAAAACTTCCAAAAAAAAAGTCAAAATGCTCCTCCTCCCCATCTCTCTCCTCTTCTTCGTCCCCGTCACCTCCTCGCCCAACAAGCTCATCTTCATCCTCGCCGGCCAAAGCAACATGTCAGGCCGCGGCGGCGTCTCCAACGGTCCGGTGGGCCACAAAATCCCCCAGAATCCCTCCCTCCCCCTCCATCCTCCGCCTTAACCCCGCCTCCGCTGGGTTGTCGCCGCTGAGCCCCTCACGCCGACATCGACGTCGGCAAGCCGCGGCGTGGGCCCGGGCCTCCCTATCGCGCCACGCCATCGCGGCAGATATGCCGCGGGCGCGGGTGATCCGCCTGGTGCCGTGCGCTGTTGGTGGGACCAGGATCGAGGAGTGGGCCCGGGGAGGAGGCTTTACGGGGAGATGGTGGCCAGGCGCGAGGCGGCGGCGGACGGGGGGGAGGAGAGGAATCGGGGGCCGTGTTGTGGTATCAGGGGGAGAGCGACACGGCGGAGAGGGAGGAGGCGGAGGAGTATCAGGGGAGGATGGAGAGGTTGATTAGGGATTTGAGGGTGGATCTCGGAGAGCCTCAGCTGCTGGTGATTCAGGTGCGTGCATGAATCGGTTTGCTTAATTAATTTCTTATCAAGCTGAGGGCTTTTTGTTATTTTCGACATAATATCCGGGGACATGTTCGGCAACCGTGATCAGGGAGATACTTTTTAACTAGTCAAGGCACAAAATAGTAGTCAGCTGCTATTTTTATTTGCACTTTGATACCCTCAAAGTTTACCCGATTTTTAATTTTGACAGCCCAACATATACATCTGTTTTGATTTTTGATACCCCCAAAATTTGGGGTATCAAAGGTTAAAAGAATGCGTAAATTTGATGGTATCAAAGTCAAAAGAATGTGCGTACTTCAGGGTTAGTAAAGTGTCAGGAAAAAGAACTATTGGATATCGAAGTCAATAAAGCTGTAAACTTGAGGTATCAAAGTATTAAAATAAAATCTTTGGGGTACCAAAGTCAAAAGATAGAACTTTTACGATACCAAAGAGCAAATAACCTAAAAAGTATTATATTTTCTTGTTCTTTTTGAAGATGATATCTGTTCAATCCACCACATTCAATTTATAGTCACACGAACAAAGCTAGATACGATCACATGCATGTTCCCAAATAAATTAAAGCACATCTTGTTGTCCTAAGCTTATGTAGCAAGGCTTGGTAGCATGTACGGTTACTATTGCTTAGACAATCTCCAACGCAGCGGCATTTTGAGGTAAAAAGTGAAAATGCCGCTGCGTGGGAGCTCCAACCGAGCGGCAGTTATTGCCGCATTTTGACGGGGATGAACAGCGTGACGCTATATTTGGCGTCGCACTGTTCATCTCCCCCATTACTGTTTTTTTTATTTTTTTTTAAACCTCATACTTTTATATATTTACAATTTGTCCCCAATTGTTTCATTAAATATATAAAACAACCCCAATAATATTTAAATTTTATAATTTTACCCCAATTGTATAATTTGGACAAAATAAATTATTTTTTAAAGATAAAAAAATGCTAAAATTTAACAGACATTATTATTAATTATAATATTAAAATCTAGACATTATAAGTAAAGTCCCATGAAATATAAAGAGCAATCATAATACATAATTCAAATATAAATTACATATCTGAAATACATAACATATAAAAACTGACAAACATAATATAAAACTTCATTAAAATAAAATATAAAATACAAACTAAACATGGTGACGTTACTTAAGATGGACAAGCAACTCTCAATAATCTGGTAGATCGGGGCCAGAGTGTCCAATATCATTAAAATAATTGCCAAAATTAGAAGCAGACCCTTGTTCTTGTTGATTTCTTTTTTGTATTATTTTAATCTGTTGAGCTCGAACGTACTCACGCACGTTTGGATCAGCAATGGAATTCAAATCTTTCATTATAATTTTCCATTCATCTCTATCTTTTTTCATGGCTATCTTTTCTCGTTCGATATCAAATGCTACTTGCCTATCCAAGCTCGCCTTGTCTAACCTGTCTATAAGTCGATTGTTGGAGGTCTCGATGGAGTCCACTACACTTGACTCATGATCATCATTTTTCTTTTCAATTTAGCTTTTTTTACCCCAATAGGTCGTTCAGATGGAGTAAATGATGACAGTCTAGGAGATGTTGATATAGGAGATTCCGAAGTGGGATTATCTGATTGTGACGAGTCGAAGTTCACACTTTGGGATTGTCTTCGACCAACTTGTCTTGCTGTGGGGACATCATCTTTGAATTTTTCAAAATTTTTAACTATATTCTAGACATGATCAAATTTGAAACCTTTTTTGTATTTTGGTTCTTGCATAAATAACATCTTTGCTCGAACTAACTGTAAATTATAGTGAACATCAAGTTATGTATTTCAACAATAATAATAAAATTCAAACGATAATTAATAGAATACTTACAATATCTTCATCTGAAGCACCACTTGGATTCAGATTCTCTACTTGTCTCAAGCACGCATTCAATTTCCTTACTTCATTACTTATAATTTCCATTCGAGAACGAATTGATCGGCTCATACGCATCTCAAAATGCTGATCTCGAAGTTCATTGTATTTGTCCTCCACACGAGACCAAAATGCATCTCGAGACTGGTTTCTATCGATAATAGGGTCTTGAGAAATATCCAAGAATACTTGACAAATGAGCACATCTTGAGTAACCGTGTATCCAGTTGATCGAACAGACATTTTTTTGTAAAAAGCGGTTGGTTTGGAGATCAGAAATACTTTGAAGAAATACTTCGAATTGGGTGGTTTGAAGTAGAATTCGTGAATGTTATTTATAGCCAATCCAAATTTGTTTTTTTGTTTGAATTTGAATTTGAATTTGAATTTGAATTTGAATTTGAATTTGCGGTTGGTTTGAATTTGTCGGTGGTCAACATTTAAAATTGAATCATTTTGTACAAACTGATCAGCTTTACACATTATCCAAAGTTGTCGGTGGGAATCAATTTTTGAAATCAGGTCAGCTTTACACATTGTCCAACGTATACACAGCTCAGCTTTCCTTGAATTGTGTGAAAGCTTTGTACGAGTGGGAATCATTTTTTGAAATCAGGTTAGCTTTACACATTGTCCAACGTATACACAACTTAGCTTTCCTTGAATTGTGTGAAAGCTTTGTACGAGTGGGAATCATTTTTTGAAATCAGATTAGCTTTACACATTGTCCAACGTATACACAACTTAACTTTCCTTGAATTGTGTGAAAGCTTTATACGAGTGGGAATCAACTTTTGAAATCAGCTCAGCTTTACACATTGTCCAACGTATACAGCTAAAAGCAAATTTGAATTTTGTGACAAATTGATAACAGCTGGAAAGCATTTCCTAAAATCAGCTCAACTTTACACATTGTTCAATGTATACAACTAAGCAAAGTTTTATAAATAGCATACTAGATTAGGTACATCCACACAATTACTCGTTGTTATGTTAAAATTATTATTCTCCATTTCTGTATACTTCAGTCATTTTTTTCTTACTTCAAAAATGAATTTCGATGTTGGAGGTCCATCATACTTATCATCATCTTCATCTTCGGATGATGATAATTTTCTATCCAATATCATTGCAGAGATTGATGAAACCGAAGAAGTAATTTGTGAGTACATTAACAACAACATAATCCTCGTTAACAATTTACGTCAACACAACTACCAACCGATCCATGGTGGCTCGATTCTCGGTCATGCAGTGATCAACCGCGATCGAGAAAATGCGCATCAGAATTTGGTCATAGATTACTTTGCCGATAATCCACGTTTTGGAGAAGATATGTTTCGTCGTCGATATCGGATGTCAAGAAGTTTGTTCCTTCGTATTGTTGATGCAGTGAAAGATCATGACTATTACTTCCAACAACGAAGTGATGGACTTGGTAGAATGGGATTATCACCGTTACAGAAAGTAACAGCTGTTTTTCGCATGTTGGCATACGGTCTACCAGCTGATGCTACGGACGAATACGTTAAAATAGGTGAGTCAACAGCAATTGAAAGTATGACAAAATTTTGTCGTGCTATGGTGGAAATATTCGCAGAGCGGTATCTACGAACACCTAACGCTAACGATATTGCTAGGCTACTCTATATTGGAAAAAAACGTGGTTTTCCAGGAATGTTAGGAAGTCTTGATTGTATGCATTGGAAATGGAAAAATTGTCCAACAGCATGGTCTGGGCAATACACAGGACGTAGTGGGTCACCAACTATTATCCTCGAAGCTGTGGCAGATTATGATCTTTGGATATGGCACGCATATTTTGGTATGCCAGGCACCAATAATGATATCAATGTGCTGGAGTCATCTAATCTTTTCTCTAACCTAGCTCAAGGTATTGCTCCTCCCGCTCACTATGTTATTCAAGGAAAAGAGTATAATATGGGTTATTATTTAGCTGATGGTATATATCCGAAATGGGCTACTATTGTACAAACAATCCAACAGCCACAAGGTAGGAAGAAAAAATATTTTGCCATGAAACAGGAAGCATGTAGAAAAGATGTAGAACGTGCGTTCGGAGTTCTCCAATCACGATTTGCAATCGTGGCAGGATCAGCACGTTTTTGGAAAAAACATGTATTACATGACATAATGACTGCATGCATTATTATGCACAATATGATAATCGAGGATGAACGTGATCTTTATGCACCAATTCAAGAAGTGAGGGAAGCACCAACACCAGAAGTTGATATGGTAGCAGATGAAACTACAAGATTTACTCAATTTATTGCACGTTACGGAAAAATCAAGGATAAAGATGCCCATATTGCGCTTCATAATGCATTGATAGATCATCTATGGGAGGAATACACTAATTCAGATAGTTAAGAGCATACTAAATTTGTAATTTTTACATTGTTGTTAATGTTTAATCATTTTCTTGTATTTTATTTTCTGTTGTGTTCTTGAATGTAATATTTTGGCAATATTAATAATAAAAATATAATATTTTATTAGTTAAATTTTTTAAATAATAAATCATTTTGTTTGGAAAATATGTGAAAAAATAAAATTTGATATGTGAGGTTAATTGTTGAAATAGTTAAAAATATAGGGAATAAAAAAATAATCATATAAAAGTAGATAAAAAGAAAGATACTGAGAATATTCCTTTTTGGTGCAAAAAAGGGTGCAATGGGTTGGAGATGAATTACTGTTAGATGTGACTTTTGTACCATTTTGGTGCAAAATTTGTACCATTTTGGTGCGATGGGTTGGAGATGCCCTTATCTACTAGTGTACTTCTTTTGACGTAAGACTGTTTACTAGTATACTGATTACAATGAATGTCAAAATCTCAGCTTAGGCATTTGCTCAAGCCGATATCAACACAATAATCGGGCCGTGATTAAGCATAGTTTGGCAAATTACCGAACCAGGTTAAGTAGAATTATAGAGGATCCACTTTCAGAAAAGAATAGGAAGAGACAAGGTACAGGATATAATTGAAAGTAGCAAGGTAGATACCTTTTAAATAGTCTCATCGACTAAAAAATCTTAAAGTAATTGTGCAAATACTTTCTCGAGACACGTTGAAGTGAAGATAAATTATTTCTGGTTTATGTAAAGTAATATAATCTTTTTTGCCTCATCCGTGTGGTCACATTGTCAAACCACGTCCACCTGCTTGTTTGCTTGATTGTTTTACTTCTCTTTTGGTCCCTCACCAAGAAGTTTCACCTAATTTGACCAAATTAAAATGGTCTTATATTCAAGTTTCTTTGAGTCTGATGAAAGAAACTTATAAATTATCAATCTGTTTTGTTTTTCTTTGAGTCTGATGAAAGAAATGTGATGTAGAGAATTTGAGGCATCATTGATCATTATAGTCTTAACACCTGCCTCAGGCTATTATAAGTTATGATTCATGACTGTAGCTTGTGGGCTATGATTCATGACTGTAGCACACAGAGAAAACTGATTATAATATTCATGGCTATGATGAATCTTATAATGATTGTTTCTATATATATATACACAGCACACACACACAGAAAACTGATATTATTAATAGCAGAGGTCCAGAAAACATATTCTCATATGCAGATGACAGGTAGCACACAAACTCTGTAAAGTTTGGATTTGATATTGCAAAAACTTGTTGGATGGGTTAACAGCCTGATTTCCATTTCACAAAACAGACAATTTTTAGAATTGAAATATGAATTCCCAAACTATTTACTCAAAATGAGAATGAGATTGGGGGCTGGGGAGATTATATCCCAATTTGCATTGTCATTAAATTTTGCTTTCATAATTTTGAAAATTGAAGTTATTAGCAAAAGAGCGAGTGTAGAGAATTGTCTCGATCAAATCCTCTTAGACTTTTGCCCATACACACCTGACTCGTCTCTCAAAATTTGAAAGTTATTATTTCTTGTGCAGTTCATCAAACGTCTGGACAGAGTAAATGTCTGAATGTTGTTCGTTTTAGAATTGCTTAAAGACTGATTTTCTGGGAAAATTTTGGAAAACTAATCCCAGTAGAAATAAGATTTCTCTATCCTTTTAGACCTCTAGTTTTAGGAATAACATTTACATCTATTTCACAAGGGTCTGTACTCTCTGTAGTTCTTTCCTCTCTCCTTTTTCTGTTGTAGGCTTTCTGAGTAATAGAAAGTAGGACAATGAGAACTAATGCTCTATCCCTTTATTAATGCAGGTGGCTCTTGCATCTGGAGAGGGACCTTTTGTAGATATAGTGAGAAAAGCACAGATTGGAATCAATCTACCCAATGTTTTATGTGTTGATGCGAAGGGATTGCAGTTGGAAACCCATCAACACTTGCATCTCACAACCCAAGCACAAGTCCAGCTTGGCACAATGTTGGCTGCATCCTATTTAAAACATGTTGCATATAAACATAACTCAAGCGTGTTCTCAAAGTGTGATATTACACACAATCATGTTAGAGATCTTGGAGAATCCATTGATATAGTATAAACCTTGGACTCGTTATCTTTTGTGATTTCCCCCCCATATTTTCTTATATCTCATGGATAAAAATATAGCGATAACTCCTTTTTGAGTTTCCCCACTTTTCAGAGTGAATAAATCACATATATCACAATTTTACATTGTAACACTTGTAAATATATGATAAATGTAAAGTTTCAACCATAGTAGATTTTTTATAAAATTTAGCGTTACTCATATTTTGTACCTCATGTATGTGGAATCAAAGGTGTGATCGATATAAATAGGGTGCTAGAGGTATGATAGGATATCTATGTAGCTATCAAATTTAGATTTCCACATAATATGTTATCTCATGAAGTATGAATTCTAAAATATTAGATAGTTTCTTGCTACTACTAGCTAAATTCTGATAACTTGACACAGAATGACTTTGCACATATAGATGCGATGGAGACACAGCGAGTGTTGGTGTGTTTCCACAATTCCCCACGGTGTGTTGTTAATGTAATAACATACATGTCACTACAACGTGATGATCAATATACCCAGATTATAACTTAATTATGTTCTGAATATGAACTAACCTATATTTACACACACATCGAACCCTTAATCATAGTTGACAATCTGGATAAATATGCATCAGATCATCTATATTGACCTTTAGAAGTATGGAGAGACACACACAATCTAACGAAGCATATGCTTATCAACTTGTTTTGCCGAACGAGTTTCGAAAGATAGACTATTATTAAGGTCCATCCTGATAGTCACACTAGAGCAGGTGGACCTCACCACTTATATTTTTTCTGAAGATAGATACTTGAATTTGTTTAATACCATACCATGAAAGCAGTCACTACAAAGAAAAACATTCTATTCCAATCTACTGACAACGGGTATCACACAGAATCTATCAGCTAACCATGTTTCACATAGATTACACCACTCAAATTTCTTACTAGCTCATATATAGTACACACGCATGAATACGCACTCAACTTGGTGCTTGATCCCTCTAGACGATAAATATTTTCTCAGCTGAATTTACATAGCCAAACAGGTGTGGAGCTTCTAAGGAGCTGAAGGGGGCCTTCGCCCTCAAGCCTTTGAGTTAAAAAACCCATAAGGCCAAAGCCTAAAGCCCGAAGTCCACAAGCCATTTGGCTTGGCCTCCTGAAGTCGGAATCCTGGCATCATAGAAGAACATGAGATGATGTTATGAGCGTACAAAATAATAGTTACTTTTCTTTTATTGTTCAAATTCTCTTCACCAGGATAAGCATGAAGATCCCCTTTATGGATTTGTCATTTTATACTGTTAGGAAATTCAAGCTATTCGACCACCTATCAAATATGAATCCTCGTGCGGAGTTTGCCTTACCGGATCTTGTGTTAAGACTGTTAACGTGGCGTGGGGGCCACTACGCTTGTGGACGTGTGAAGAGATTATGTTGAAGCGATGCAATTTGAAAGGATGTGACATGAAAAAAAAAAGATAAGATCATGTGCGGTTTTCGGTTTTCACCCGAACGAATTTTTGATACCGCAACTATATATAGCTGTTCAATCACTTCCTAGGTTTAGGCTTGGAAAATAAAACGCGCAGAAGAGAAAAACTTTGTCGGCGTGAAAAAGGGGATCAGGCTTTGAGGGCTGCACAGGTGCAAGTCAGAGAAGAAGAAAAGTGCGGCTGCGGGAGAAAAAGTCAGCAGCTTTCTTTGGTTTCATGTAAACATGCTTTTGTGCTTTTGAGAGAGATAATTGTATGAGGGTTTAGATTGAGTGATTATAAACTCTAGTTGTATCTCTCCCTCTAATAGTAGATCTCCCCGCCTCCTTGCCCCGTGGACGTAGGCAGTTTGCCGAACCACGTAAAATTAGTTTGTTTGAGTATGTGGCCATTGTAATAGTTTCTAGGATCCCTCGATAAGTCAGTCCTAGAACTGATGAGAGGAAGAGCCGATATCTCACTTTGTTGAGATATTCGCTTCAGATTCTTATCTCCTTAGTGAGACGAGAATTCATTGGGATCTTTCTCTCTTATTGTGCACCAGAAACTCTGCCGAAATTTTCGTTGCGCACAACATGTGGTATCAGAGCCAAGTTACGCTTGGGCTATTTGGAGGAGTAGATCGATTTGGAGGCTTGTCTAGGGCTTCGTTTGGTGATAAAGATGGGATCTTTTGGTAAAGACTCTATCTTTTTAGTTTTGGGTCTATTCTTCGTTCGTTGGTGCGTTGATAAAGATGTCGGGGAAAGAAGGTGCTTTGGGTGTCGAGGGTGGTGCTTCTGGCGCGAAGACCATTCAGAGTCTGAATATTCACTCTATGAAGATAGATATGGAGAAGTTTAATGGCACAAACAACTTTGGATTATGGAGATGCGAGGTTTTGGATACGCTGAATGCGCAGAATTTGGAGGATACCGTGGAGTTAAATGACAAGCCAGATGAGATTGAAGAGAAGGTTTGGAAGAAGATGAATCGAACGGCGTGTGATGTGATTAGGTCTTAGTTAACTCAAGATCTAAAATATGATGTGATGAATGGGACTTCTGCAAAGAAGATTTGGGAGATTCTCGAAAGCAAGTATCTGACAAAGAGTGTTTAGAACCGCTTGTATTTGAAGAGGAGACTTTATCGTTTCCAGTTGAAGAAGGGAACCTCAATTAGAGATCACATGAATACCTACACAAAGCTTCTTGCGGATTTAGTGAATGTGGATGTCATGATTGAAGATGAGGACAAGGCGTTGCTGTTATTGAGTTCCTTGCCCGACGAGGAATATGAGACTTTCGTCCTTACTCTGATTAATGGGAAGACATCCATTTCGTATAGTGAGGTCACTACTACACTAGTGAATTATCAGTTTCGAAAGAAGGATAAGGAGGCTTCAGTTGAGCCGGTAGCAGAGGCGTTGGCCGCAAGAGGGAAGGGTCCAAACCGAAAGAATTAGAAGTCACAATCTAGAATATGACATCCTACAATTAGAAAAGATCAGTATGCTTGGTGCAAAGAGACTGGTCATTGGAAGAAAGACTGCCCAAAGCTTGAGGAATGGATGAAGAATAAGCAGAAGGGAAAAGGGAAGCAACCATCATCAGAAGCAAACATCGTATCAGATGGTAATATTTCTGACTTCTATTTATCCGCTTTCTATCAGTCCTACATGTAGCTATTCGGAGGAATCCGAGTGGATGTTGGATAATGGTGCGACCTATCATGTGTGCCCTAGAGGGGAATGGTTCTTCAGTTTTGAGAAGCTGGATAGTGGTGTGGTGTACATGGCTGATAACCGTGCATGTCAGATCCTTAGGATAGGAAGAATTCACATCAAGATGTTTGACGGGACTATTAGGGAGTTAAATGATGTGAGATATGTTCCTTATTTAAGAAAAAACTTGATCTCGATTGGAGCTTTGGTTGGAGAGGGTCTGAAGGTTCGTGTTGAGGACATAGTTCTCAAGATCGTGGAAGACTCTCAGATTATGATGAAGGACGTCAGGAGGAATAACTTATATTACTTGACTGGAGGTATAGTGACAGGTGGAGAGCTGGAGACTTCTGTTGATTCGACTAGACTGCGGCATTTGGGGCTTGGCCATTCCAGTATTGATTCCTCGCATAGATTAAAAGAGGTTGTAAAGACCTGCAGTTTGAAGTCCAGTGAGCATGTTGATGTGACCAAGAAGACCAAGGTGAAATTTGGCACCTCTATTCACTGTGCTAAGGGTCGTTCTGGAGGAGTTCACGTGGATGTTTAGGGACCTTCCAAGGGGGCATCATTGGGAGGTAATAAAAGTTTGGTTTCCTTTGTTGGTGGCTGTTCTAAGCGTGTTTGGGTTGCAACCAAATCCCCCTATGGATAAAGTCCTAGTAGTCTCTAACAGTTTGAAGAAGTGTAAGATGAACAGAAAGGTGAAGGTACTTTATTCTGATTTTGATGGGAGGTACAAGATGGACCTGTTTCTGTATTAGAGCCGAGCTCACCGTATTTCGAGACACTTCATTAGAAAGGAAATCTTGGTGTAACCAGATAGGATGGTAAATTTAGAGAACCGTGCCTTACTGGAGGATCGGTGTTTGTGGTCGAGCAATGGTTTGCAGAAGAGGTTCTGGACTGAGGCTTCGATATATTTAGGAGGATCGGTGTTTGTGGTCGAGCAATGGTTTGCAGAAGAGGTTCTGGACTGAGGCTTCGATATATTTGAGTCATCCTATTAAAGAGTTGTCAACTGCTGTGATTGGAGGTAAAACTCCATTGGAAGATAGGTCTGGTAGTGTCACTTTGGTTGAGGCTTCGATGAGGAAACCAATTGACTCTCAGCAGGTGGAGAGTTTTGGACAGACTGATGCAACTCCACATTAGGTGGGGATTTTCCCACATACTCCAGGTCATTCTGCATTGGTTAGGATTCCAGCTGAGGTGACACAGCGTGGAAGTCATTTGGATTCGGATGCAGATGATGAGTTGGGTTTTGACTCGAGTGCAGTTGATAGATGTAGTTTGGATATGGCCATTGGTTCACCTCAGGTAGAGGTGTTTGAGGCCATTGGAGGTGCTATCAGCCGCAGAGTTGATGATATTGGAGAAGGGTTGCGAACTCTTCTATTGGATTGAGGTCATTTGTGGCCATTTGGTGAACTACGTTCGGCTTGATTCCTTGGGCAAGAGGATACGTAGGCAGTTTTTATGATGCAGCCGGGTTAGATTTTAATGGGGGTGAGATTGATTTGGTGAGTTGATACCAACATTTGGAGAGTGCTTGCATTCTCATTTAGGTTCTCGACTTGTTATGGATTGAATCTGTTATCGTGAATTGTTTCACTTCGTACTGGACGCAACAAGTGAGACATTTGGTTTGGTTGGTGTCGGCTCAGTTTTGGTAAAACTTCGTCGAGGTGGAGAATTGTTAACGTGGCTTGGGGGCCACTACGCTTGTGGACGTGTGAAGAGATTACGTTGAAGCAGTGCAATTTGAAAGGATGTGACATGAAAAAAAAAGATAAGATCATGTGCGGTTTTTGGTTTTCACCCGAACG